ACTTCAGAAGAGGATCTGATACCCACTACCCCTAAAAGAGCAAGACACATTATAAGGTGAAAATTACTTGCTTTTATTTATTGTGAAAACAACTTTATGAAATGATTTGCAATGCAAAACGTGGAAAACTGCTTTGAATAAGTGGGACAATAGCTACAGCATGGGAAAACATATGTAAACAAACTTCACTGCCACCAAACTAGACTCTACTAATTTATCTCAGATGGCATCACAGAGTAGCAATGGCAGCTTCTGGTAAACAGAGAAACAGCAGCAAAGTCCTGCAGTGAAGCTGTGATTAATTACTAAACTGAACTGTTCACTAATCCTACAACTTCCCTGCATTTATCTGTCTATACATTCCTACTTACTACAGGACAAACACCCACCAAAGTGGTTCCAAAAGACAAATGAGATAGAAATTCACAGTTATCTTTGTCTACAAGACAAATCCAATAGAAGGCAGTGGAGGAAACTGGGAACTACTGCAAAGTTTTACTATCTAGTCCAGGTGATGAAAACAAAGTTTTTCTTTCAGGCTGACCACTGTCAGGAATGAAATTAAGTATCAAAACTCTCCTCACTTCTCTAGGAGTGATTCTAGCTCTTCTTGCAAAGAGCTGAGCTGCTCCTTTTCTCGGTCTTCCTTTTGTTTCAGTTCATCCAGCACAGCCTGAAATCTGTTCTTGAGAGCCAGGTTTTCCACTTTCAGGATGAGATCCTCCTGTCGCTTTGCCCTGTCCTGGGTCTCTTGGAGCTTGCCTTTCATGTTATCAATCTGTTTCTGAATTCCCATAACCAGCTGATTAGTTCCCTCGTCTTCTTGGTGGTGTTCATCTGACTCATTTAGCTTGTCCTGTAGCTGCCTTTCCAGATCTTCCTCAGTGTCAATGATGTTTATGTCTTCTTCATCTTGATGCTGTGTCTCATCTTCATCTTCACTGCTGCTGCTAAGGTCATTGAATATCTCCCGAAGCTCATCATGTTCTAATGAGTCACGGCCCTGCCTGTGGCCAGACATGCCTGGGGAAGAGATATCAAGGCCTTGGTTTTCTGCTTCTTTTGTTTCATCTTCAGCAATTATTTCCCAACGGGTACTGACAGCTTCAGCATCTGTGCTCAGCAACCGCTTTACTTCTTTTTCCACATCTGGAGACTCAATATACTTCTTCTTTGCTGTCTTACGGAACCTTCTCTTTCTGACATTTTTTAGAGGCAGAGTAATTCCATGGTTCCATACAAACTTTTTCTCTTTGTCCTTATCCTTTTTCTTGCTTGCTTTGGGATCAGCAGTGGCAACTGGTTCCTCAACAGGAGGATAGAGATCACCGTCAACTGTAGCAACAAGCATCTGAGAGATATCAGCTGTCTTGTAAAAGGTTTTTTTATCAATGGTTTTCAAACTTTCCATAACACATGGCAGATCTACCAATTTTGACGCCAATGGGACCCGGTCCACTCTGACAATTCCATGACGCCCATCAGGGTGTAACTCAATTGTCAGTCTGTCCTTCAGGTTG